ATGATAAGAAGTGTGTATTAACTTCTCAAAATAGGACTCAAGTTTATCTCCCTTGGGTAGCACAGGGTGACTTATCAAATGTCAATGGTTAGACTAACATTTACTTTAGCAGAGAGATAATTACAGGGGTTGAAAAGTCTGTTGAACCCATTCGATTGTCCACACATCAGCTGGCTTTCATCCAGACCAGTTTATAATCTAAAACAGCAAAGTCTTTACTTTTAGATGCAACCAAGGTCATGATGTTTTGGGGGGTTTTTGTTCTTAAAAAGATTCCCTGCTCTGAGTTAAACCCACCCCAACCCCGAGTTTCACCTTGTCTCTAAACTTCTGAAGGAGGCTTCGCTGCTCAGGGAAGCGCCTACATTGCATGAAACTGCTCCAGTGGAGACTGGCTCCCACTGTCACTGGCTTACCCTCTGGTATTAGTGTCATTAGTTGTATTAGGTGGTATTAGTTATTAGGTGGCATTAGATTTCTATTGCTGCTATAACAAAGTACCACACATTTAGTAGTCTTAGGCAACACAAATTTATTCTTGCATAGTTCTGAAAGTCAGAAGTCCAAAATGGGTCTCACTGGGCTATAAAGTCGAGGTTTCAGCAGGGCTGTGTTCCTTTCTAGAAGCTCTAGGAATAGTTGTTTTCTTTGCCTTTTCCACCTTCTAGGGGCCACCTGTACTACTCAGCTCATCGTCCCTTTCTCTAGCTTGAAAGCCAGCAGAGTGACATCTTCCCATCTCTCTCTCTCTGACTCCTGCTTTTGTTTTTGTATCTCCTTTTCTCTCTTGTCTTCCATCATCACGTCCCCTTCTGTGACTGACCCTCTTGCCTTCCTCTCACAAGGACTCAGCAGATTACATCAGGGCCACCCAGGTGACCCAGATAATCTCCCATCTCAAGGTTCTAAACTTGAGCACCTCTACTATGTGAGGTCAAATACTCGGGTTCAGTTTCTGAAGATTTAGACATGAGGACATCTTCCAAAGGCCACCATTCTGCCTAGCACAGTAGCTTATCCCTCAATTTCTCGGCTTGGGCCTCCATCCAAAGAACCTCACCTACCCTGTCTGTGACATGCTGATGTCGCTGTGTCCTCCCTTACCAAAATGGCTTCAGTATAGCTCTTCTTCATGTCCGTATCTTCCAAGTCACAGTCTCACGTGGTCACATGTACTAAGAAGAGTCTGGATCACATGCCCAAAACTTAGCTGTCAGGGGGGCTTGGGAAGCAAGTCCTGACTTCTTTCTTAGGGACAAGCAGGCTCCCAAAAGGAAAGATTCAAAAGTTGTCAGGTGGTAAAAAAACATGACCAAAACCTAGTCAAACCTCAGAGCGTGGTTGGGTCCGGTTGCCGCTACCCCACTGTGGAGAAGCACTCGCAGATTGGGACTAGGACAGCAGGGATGGTGAGGGAGTCTGCCACCATGACTCGGGAGTGGTCATACATTTGGGAACCTAAGGCCAGTGTTAAAAGGTACGTGACTGAGGTTTCATAGCGGTGAGGAAAAGCTTGTACACAGAAGAGATTGGACTTGTATGTCTCCAAAAGACAACGCCAGGGCTACAGGGCGATACAGTGGCAGAGTGTTCAGCCCCTCCATCAGCATGCGCCAAAGACAGATAGGCTGCCCCAACAGGCCATGGGTTTGCTGTCACTTGAAGTTTTGAGACAGAAACAGGATGACAAGATGTTGGGGCACAGAGAGGGAATTCTCATATCAGAGGTGAATTACTCTAGTTGGCTTCTAAGCTTTCATCATTTTGTTCTTACCTGATAACCAAGTTATCTGGTGGGGGGAGGGCAGGATACAAAGGGCCAACTTACAGTTTTACATGGAAGTAGTACTTCTAAGGAGAAAATGTTTGATTTTTGAAACCTTTTTTCTATATCTTATTTTCTGATTCCTGATTCCAGTCTTGTTTTTTTTAAACAGAAGTTAAGTAATATTTTAAAACAGCATAGCTTGTTTTCACCCTGGCCCTGAAGCCTAGATTTTCTCCCAGCCTGCCGTGGTGGAGGACTCAATGTGCATCGTTCTGCGGAGTCTTTATTTGAATGACAGGCCTGGAGAGGTCGCTCACCCAGTGTCAATGCAAGTTTTGACTAGATAAAAGTTAATGAGTTTATATAGGAACTAAGTGATTCCCATCTGTTTTCCTTCTCTGTGTATGCAATTCCCTGTCTGCATTCCGACCTTGGCGGAGAAGCCCTGGTCAGGTGCCCCAGGGGATCACCTGCATGCAGAGATGGTGGCAGGCATTGGGGTTGAGAGCTGGGGTCTTGTCGACTTGCTTCTCTCCAGACTGCCCAGAGGGTCACACAGGTACACATACCCACAAGATGTATTCTGGAAAGTTACTTTGCAAAACTATATCGAATGCAGAGAACAACACACATTTCTAAACTAAAAGTCAAGGTGTTTTTCTTTGGATTTAACCTGACCTTCCTTTGTTGGAATTCAAACCCCACATTGCTTGATACGACACGAATTTCCTGAGTGACCTGGGCACCATTAGTAACAGGCGCTAAGGCCTTTGTATCCTATTTTGTAAAATGGGAAAAACAACTTCGTTCATCTGCAAAGCACCAGAATGCAAAGGTTTGCAAATCAGAAGCCACAGTTTCCAAAACTGTCATGGCTCCCACGTTCAAAGAGTGGTGTGTGCGCATGTCTGTATGTGTGTGTGCTGGTGAGGATGAGAAAAGGGGGTTAGAGGCTGCAAAGAAATTTTTTCGTGCTTTGGTGACCCTCTGCTACCAAACCTCACCCTAAATAAAAAGTAATTATGTGGCATATTGATAGGCATTTATTCTGCCCTGCCCCCTTTATTCTTAGAAAGCATTCCTTCCTGGTTGTTTTTAGCGTAGAGGAAGCAGTTTGGCTGGGTGAGGATAGAGGGAATCATCAGGAGCAGGTGTTGCAATGAAATAAAATGTACAACAAAAGATGCTCTGACAGATATTCACGATATGGCTAATACTTGCAGCCTGAACAGTGATTAGCTAGAAACACTAAGCAGCAATTCCCAGAAATGACTGTAATTAGTTATCTCTGAACACAGCTAAACCAATTCACGGCATCGTTTCCTAGAAGTTCTCTAGAATCTGTGAATAGAGTATGGTGAGCAATCCCCTTACATTATGTTCACCTAATTCACCCCCAAAGTACTCCCTTTATGTTTCTCTTTCCCCAAATCCCCCACTCCCTTTCTCTCTCCTTCCTCCACCCACCCCTCTCCTCCAGGCCATCCAGCCTGCTCTAATCCCACCCCTCTCCTTTGCGTAGGCCTCGGGGGATGGAAAAACAGCCCCTGGTCCATGCAGTCTTTTTATGATGACCCAAGAATGACTTAGTTTAGGATTCCCAAGAATGATTCTCAAATCTGAAGAGGTTCTGTGATGTTCAGGTAACTGAGAATGGAGTTGGGCCGATGCGGGTCTGGGCACTGCCCAGGTAAGGGGCTTTTCTCAGGCCAGACCTGCGCAGGGAACTAGACAACTGGCTTGGGCTAGAACACTTGCACCATTTCTACTTCCTTCCTTCCTTCCTTCCTTCCTTCCTTCCTTCCTTCCTTCCTTCCTTCCTTCCTTCCTTCCTTCCTTCTTTCCTCCCTTCTTCCTTTCTCCCTTACTTTAAATATTCATTCACAGATAACTTAATGCCTACTGTGTGATAAACATTGTACTAGGTAATGGGATAATATGATCAGGTATGGGGGGTTGGGCAGTATGAATAGAGAGGGCAATTTTTAATAACTTTAAGGAATCTTTTTGTAAAGCTTTGAAATGGAAAAGAATGAAGGTGAAACCTTACTTTGCACAATGTGCAAAAATGAACTCAAAATGGACCAAAGACCAAAATATAAGAACTAAAACTATAAAACTCTTGCAAGAAAACAGGAAAAGTTTCATAACATTAAGTTTGGCAATTATTTCCTGGATACGATGCCAAAAGCTCAGGCAACAAAAGTCAAAATAAGTAAATTGTACTATATCAAAATTAAAACTTTGCACATTAAAGTACACTGTCAAAACAGTAAAAAGTCAACCTACAGAATGGGGGAAAATATTTGCAAACAGTATCTCTAATAAGGGGTTAATATCCAGAATATGTAAAGAACTCCTACACAGCAACAATAGAAAACCAACACTCCAAAATTTAAAAATACGCACAGGACTCAAATAGACATTTCTCTAAAGAGGATACTCAAATAGCCAAGGAACACCTGAAAAGATGCTCAACATTACTAATCATTAGAGAAATGCAAGTGACAAACACAAGGAGCTCAATTTCATCATATCCATTAGATAGCAATTATTAAAAAAAAACAGAAAATAAGAAGTGTTAGCAAAAATGTGGAGAAATTGAAATCTCTCTGCACTGCTGGTGGGAATGTAAAATGGTACAGCTGCTATGAAAAACAGTAAGGCAGTTCTAAGATGAAAGAAAGAAAAAAGGAGAGAAAGAAAGAGAGAGAAAAGAAAGAAAGAAAGAAAGAAAGAAAGAAAGAAAGAAAGAAAGAAAGAAAGAAAGAAAGAAAGAAAGAAAGAAAGAAAGAAAGAAAAAAGAAAGGAAGGAAGGGAGGAAGGAAGGAAGGAAGGAAGAAAAAGAAAGAACGATCATATGGCCTTTCCTATGACAAAAAGAAAAACATTGTATGGTTCCATTTATACGAGGTACCTAGAGTAGTCAAGTTCATAGAGGCAGACAGTGGAAGTGTGGTTGCCAGGGGCTGGAGGGAGAGGGGAGTGGGGAGTTAGTGTTTGACGGGCAGAGTTTCAGCGTTGCAAGACAAACAGTTCTGGAGATGAATGGCTGGTGATGTTTGCACAGCAATGTGAATGTCATTAATGCCAGTGAACTTACAAGTGGTTAAGATGGTAAATTTTATATTATATGTATTTTGCCACAATTAAAAATAAATAAGTGTAAAAAACCCTATGACAGTAGAGACAATCGTTGGTATAATTGCTCCCAACAGATATGCCCTGTGAAACAAACTATCAGTGTTCTCACACTCATGCCAATGAATAACACTTAAAAAACAAACAAGTTGGCCCAATAATTCCAATTTAAAAGATCTTTTGAAATTAAAAAAGTGCTCTATTAACTCATTCTTCCTCTTTAGTATATTCTGCCTGGTCTTTTTCAACAACAGGAGAAGGCATTACTTTTGTTTTAGAATCTGTAGTTATCTTCTGAAACAATAAAAGCTGTCCTTCATAGTCTTCTGATGACTTAATTTCCTTTTTTTCTTAGATATTCTCCTGAAAGAAACAGAACATGGTTATTATTCATGAGCAGCAAATTATGCCTGCAATATGATTCATTCATTTATTTGAATATCTGGTGAGTGACTAGCAAGTTCTAGGCACCATGTTGGGTACTGAAGATACGAGGATGACTGATGGTTAGGACCCAGCTCCTGCCCTCAAGGAGCTCCTTGTCTATCCGGGCAAATGGAAATAGAAAAATATCAATTGTGTTCCTAGAGTTTTTCATAATACCAATTTTAAATAGTCATAATTCTTTGCTTCCCAAATTTTCTATAATTATAATGTAAAATTTTGATAGAGAAAAATATACTTTAAAAAAACGAGGGAAGAAAATAGAAGGAGTGAGTATGTATCTGGCTCCTGAGTGGGCATCAGCTGCATCCCTCCCCCAGGAGCATCCAGCCTCTTTCAGGCAAGCCCGTCCCTCCCCGGAGCAGAGGGTCTCAGCAGCATGATCTCAGCCATCCTCGTCTCATACCCATGCTTTGGAGTCTTTGGCTCTAAGCAAGAATGTCTAATTTCTAATACAATTTTTTTAAAAAAGAAATCACCCTGCAAAATGTACCTTTTTTACAATCGAGGTTAATGTTTTAATTGGATCAGACCATTATATTTGGATTCCTCTGGTAGTTTCAGTGTAATATCATTGAAGCATCACTTTAGTGATGTACTTTGGTAGTGATGCAACGTTACTGCACGTCCTAGAACTCTTCCTTCTGAAGCCTCAGAGGTATATCCCGTATATTATTTGTGATGATTTCTGAGCACCATTTTTTCACAATATGCATACAGAGTGGAACAATGGAAGTATTACAAATGCAAGAATTAAAAAAAAAAGAATATATAGTTTCTGAAATGGTACCTAATTTCTCAATTAATCTTTAAGATTCAGCTCTCTGGAGCCTTCCTTGATCCTGCTAGGCAGGATTCATTTATTTGTTCATCAAACGTGTATTAATTGCCTACTCGACATTTGACACTAATTTACGTGCTGGAGAAAGGAAAATGATTACAATGCACTTATCGCATTCTAGGGGCCCCCAGTTTAGGTAAACAAAGAACTATAAGGGCAGCAATAACAAAGGTATGCAAAAAATACATAGCACAGTGGAGAGATGTCTAAGATCTCACTTGGGTCTTCAATTTTGGGGAATACGCCAACTGGACGTGAGGGAGCAGGAACAGAAAAGGAAGACATTTCGGGAAGATAGGATAGCAAGTGTAGAGGTACGGAGGTCAAAGAACACACCCCGATTTCCTAGTTTATTAGGACAGTGCAGTGCACATTGTCTATCATGACTACTTGTTGAAAGAATGAAGGAATTGCTGCCTTCCTTACTAGTGGAAGTAAGGAAAGAACTATTTCAAAAGATTGTTGAAGTAACTCCAAAAACTTTTTAGAAATTTCAATTTATGGGAGATTAAAAACCTAAATGCAAACATAATTTATATCATTTATTAAGCTCAACTCACATAGATATAATTTTCCAGTTCTATATTAGATCTTTACTCAATAATGTATAGCCGTGGAAGGAGACTGGAGTTGATACCAACAAGCTGGTTGCCTGGCTCACAAAAACTTCTCTTTCTGTAAAAAGTCTCTTTTTATAGGGTGGCCCCCAGCAACTACATCTCTTGTTTTTTCCACCTGTTGCTTCCCTCCTCCTCCCCTACCCAGCTGAATGACGTAAGGGTAAAACCATGTGATCCAAGACAGGTCAACTCAGGGTTTTAAAGGAAATTAAGAGGTAAAATGTGAGGCTTGGCCATGATACCAGTCAGGAAGGATGGCAGTTCACATTGGGACAGAACAAACCTGACCCTCTTAGAAGGTGAGACCAGAGAAAAGTTCTAGCAGTGTTCCAGTCCCTGGAATCATTTTCCTGGTGTTCAGCTGGACTCCATCCTTCCAGTGGTTCTAAAAGAATTCTCAGTGTCCTCCCCATCAATCCCTACTTTCCATATCCTAGCTGATTTGGTCTCTGTCCCTTGTAGTCAGAAGACTCAACTACTGCAGGGAATGAACAGAGGCACCAGGAGACAAACTTACCCAGCTTCTCTGTAGCCTCCACACAGACACTCGGATACATGCCCTCAGTGTAAGTTGCCACCAGAAGATACAGATGGGTCTTCACAACAATCACACCAGTGTTTTCCTGGATGAGAATAAAATTGAATGCCTTCTTTTGGTTCTGATCACAGGACTAGCAGTTAGGCTCCAGCCGTATTTTTCACAATTTCCCAACTTACATATATTCCTACATTTCTTTTTTGGACTCTCCACTCTGTTCCACTGATTTAGTTGCCTTACTCTAAAAGTTTTAGGTGTTGTAGAAATAGCGTGAATATTTTGAAAAAGTTCCCCAGTTGATTCTAATATACCCCTATCCCAATGAGAGAGGGTATAGATATATTGTGGAATTGGAAAGCTCTGGGTTTGAATCCCAGCACCTCCATTTTCTGCTGCATGACCATGGAAGCAGTATTTAACCATGCTTAGCTTCAGTTTCCTCATCTGTAAAATGAGGCTACTTAGTTCATAATGTGGATGAAGTGTGCCTAATCCATACTATCGGGCTTTCAGACAATGAGATTTCATCCCCTTAATTCCTAATAGGCAACAGAAAGTCCAGAGGGGTTTTAAGCACAGGGTGATAGCACTTTTTTTAAAGGAGGATGTGGAATACAAAGGATAGACTATAGTGGAAAGAGACAGTTAAGGCAAGGTTTAGTTGGTAGATTCTGGAATAAATATTTCTCAAAACCGAGCTCTCTGTTAGTACTTTCTTTTGCATACGCTCTCCTGGCACTAGACCTCGATCTCAAACACTGCTTTGCAATAATGGGCTTAGTCTGTTCTACAGATAAGATCAGAAAAGATGCAGAAAATTGGAGTCAAATTCTGAAGGTTTTCCCCGGCTGTCTTCAAACTTCAGTACTCACATTCTTAGCATAAAGAGAATAATCGTCTGCCCGCACACATCTGTAGTCCTTTTCCTTGAAATACAATCCCTCTCTTCTGGCTTGCAAAGGGTTCTTGGCGAACCCATTCACAAGTGTTCGCACGTCACTGGGCATTACCTGCAGAGGTTAAATAGACCGAGAGTCAGCAAACTACAGCAGGCTGGCCACGTTTGGCCCACTCCCTGCATTTGAATGCCTGCACCTAAGAATGGGTTTTTTCACATTTTGAAGTAGTAGGGGGAAACATCAAAAGAATAATTTCGTGATGGATAAAAGTTATATGAAATTAAAAATTCAGTATCCATAAATCAAGTTTCATGGGAAGACGGTCACGCCCAGTCCCTCCTTGTATTATCTTTGGCCGGTTTCCATGACAACTGCAGAGTGGTTGTGCAGTTGTGACACAAACCATTCGGCCTCAAAACCTAGAGTGTTTGCTGCAGCTCTTTCCAGAATAGTGTGTTTGAAATGCTTATGCCCAGACTTTCTTTTTTAAATTTAAAACTCCATGCCCAAACTTTTTTTTCTTACACTGAACCCTGGCGATGCCACAGACAGGCTCCGCTCCTGGAGTTTGATGAGGGCCGCGCTGTCCACGTGCTTGGTGCCCAGGAGGGAATCTAACAGTAAGTTCTGCAGGTGGCTCATGGCCCTCGGCTCTGAAGGAGGCTGTAGTGAAAGGATCCGCTCTGGCTAGCTTTCAGAAGACCTGTGGGTACAAATCTCCCTGAGATGCTTCGAACCGTTGCAATACCAGCATGTGTTCTCTGAAAAGATGAAGAGTGAAAGGGGCGGTCGTGAGGGACCCAAACTCAGACTCAAACTCAAACTCAAACTCAAACCCAAACTCAAAGAGCAAAATGAAATCGAAGAATCAGGGAAGCCGCAGTTCACGCAGAGCAGGTTATGCAGTGAGTTTGGACAATCCCAGCTCACAGCTTTCCAGCTATGGCCGTGGTTTGCCCCAGAGTCACCTGGGACTGAGAAACAAAAAACAAACACCGCTGGGCTGGGGAGGCACGGATCGAAGAAAAGGAGGCTGAGCGATGTGCTGGTCCTGAGTCCTCGCCTTCACTTCCCACTGACTAACATCAGGACACCGGCCCAGGGGACTAAAAACACTTCTAAGCTGCTTAAACGACCTTTTCTGCACAGTCACCGTCTTCCTGGACGGTCCTCATCAGGCCAACAACCTGCAAACACTCGTCCTTCCAAGAGATACTGAGGACAGGCCACAGGTCGGGGCAGGGGTGGGGTGGGGGGGGCGGCAGGGTTCCCCAGAACGGGATTGAGAGCGATGGTGGGGGGTTCATAGCAGTGCAGTTGGCTGGGGAGACGCACGGGGGGCACCAGGCACTGGGGGAAGCGCGGCGGGCCAGGCGGCAGCGGGGGCTCAGCTCGGGGCTGTTGGCGGAGCAACAGCCGGTCCACGGACAAGGGGAAGGCGAGGTGGCAGCTATTGGCTGCGACAGCTGCCGTTCACCGAGAAGCACTGCACTCGGTTCGCAAACCCGGACCTGCAAACCCGCACTTCGGGCCGAGGGGCCGCGGGACCCCGGCTGCACGGTGCTCAGGGAGGCAACCACGGCTGGGTCTCCCGAGCCGGCGGCCCCTGCGGAGCCCAGGGCCCTCCGTCCGCTTCCGCACCGCGTGGGCTTGTTGCCGTTGCTCCCACGTCCCGGGACACTGGACGCGAAACGTTCTTTACTCTGAGGCCGTGGGGTCGGGCAGGCGCACCCTCCCCCGCGGCCGACGCCTCCAGGCCGTGGCCGCCTGGCCAGGCCCGCGCGCGCTGCAGAGGCGCCCAAAGCGCTGCGGGTCACGGGAGGGCGGCCGGGGTGCGGGTGCGGCCAGCACCCTGCCCGCCAGGCCCGGGCGGAGGCCCCGCCTCGTGCCGACCCACTGGGAGGGAAGGGTCGCAGCCCTGGTGCCGTAAATTTACGACGCGGGAGCCCTGCTGATAGCTGTTCCCTTAGATACGGTCCTGGGCCGGGGCGGGGGTCCCCGGGGACAAGCAAAAGTGTGAAAGTCCCTCCAAGCAGCTCTGTCGGCCTGGACCTCAGCAGCCAGAAAGTTGCAACCTGCGGCCACCGGACAGAAAACTGCTGCAATGAGACTCCTACCAGCCGGGCTGGTCATTGCCACGCTGTCTCCAAAGGGCTCTGCTGCGGGAGGGCGTGGGAAGCCTGGAATTCAGGGGGGGCGCGGGTCAGCGCAGAGAGAACCCCCCAGCTCTAAGGAGGCTGGCTCCGAAGACCTTTTCGGAAGCTGCGGTGAAGGCCCCTTGTTGGGGGAAGTGCGGGCGGCCAATGTCCAGAATCCGTTCCACCTCCATTGGGGGGGCAAGTTCTGATTATGCATTAAACAGAAGAAAAGAAGGTGATGGTGAATCCTCATTACCAAAGGAGCTGATTTTTCAATTTTTCTAAAGGCTCTGTTATTTGGGACCACAGTGAAAATTTGGGACGTCGATGAACCTCAAGCTCAGGAGTCTACAGAACGGTTGGGGCCGCTGCCCCTCTCACGGAGGTTCAGTGGTGTGGCCTTTTGAAGTCTGCACTTGGGCAGTTGCACTGAGAGCTGGCTTGTGTGGAATAAAATATTTTTTCCTGGTTTCTGTTTCATTCTGTTCTTTATTAGTCCCTTCATTCCACTAACTTTGTGTTACTCTGCTCTTCATTTTCCACCTTCTTAAGTTGGAATCATGGGTCATTCATGATATGCCTTTTCTAATATAAGTTACAAAGTTTCTCCTGAAGCACATCACCCAAATTTATGCATGTTTTTTTTTTAAGATTGTAATTTCTTTCTTTTTTAAACATCTTTATTAAGGTATACCTGATAGACATACAGTAAACTACCCATATTTAAAGTGTACAGTTTGATACGTGTTGACTAGTAATCACACATGAAACCATCACCACAAGATAGTGAACATGGTCAACACCTGCCATGCTTCTTCACTGTGTCCCCAGTAACCCCTCCCTCCCTGCCAGCCAGCTAGGCTATCTCCAACGTGCTTTCTGTCACCGTAGTTTATTTTTCATTTAAAATGTCTATATAAATGTAATTTTACATTATGTGTTCTTTTTCTGGCATCTTTCACCTAGCATAATAATTTTACAATTCATCCATGCTGTTGCATGTACAATACTTAATTCCTTTTTTGTTATTGTTGAATGCTATAGACTGCCATTTGTCCATCTGATTGATGGTCATTTGGGTTGTTTGCAGATTTTGCAAATGAAGCTGCTAGCAACATTCATGTGCATCTCTTTGTATGGACATAGGCTTTCATTTCTCTCGGGTAAATAAATATCCAGTTGTGGAATGGCTGAGTTATCTGGTAGATGAATTTAGCTTTTTTCTGAAATTGACAAACTTTACCAAAGTGATTGTATTAATTTGCATTTGCACTAAGAGTGTATGAGAGGTCCAATTGTTTTGCATTCTAGCCAAAATTCTATACAGTCTTTCTAATTTGAGACATTCTAAAAGATGGATAATGGTATCTTATTGTGGCTTTAATTTTCATTTTCCTAATGACTATGGTGTTGAGCATATTTTCATATTTCACTTGCCATTTATATATTAGTGAAGTGTTTGTTCAAATATTTTGTTGATTTTAAATTATATTTTTTGATATCTTATTGTTGAGCTTTTATTATTGAGATATAATTCACATCCCATAAAATCCACTAGTTTAAGGGTGTGATTAAGTAGTTTTCAGTACATTCACGAGGCTGTGCAACCATCACCACTTCTAATTCCAGGACGTTTTTATCACCCCCAAAAGACACCTCGTACCCTGTAACAGTCACCGTCCATTCCCTTGTCCCCCTGGCCTCGGGGACACCACCGATTTACTTTCTCTCAGATTTGTCTATTCTGGACATTTTAGACAGGTGGAATCATTGCAGTACTGGGTGGTCCTTTGTAACTGGCCTCTTTCACTTAGCACACTGTCTCCGGGTTCGTCCATGTCCTAGCACGTGTCAGCAGTTTGTTCCCTGTTGTGGCTAAATAACATTCCACTATATGGATAGGCTGCATTTTGTATATCCATTCATCAGTGGGTGGGCATTTGGATTGTTTCTAGTTTGGGGCTATTATGGTAATACTGGTATGAACATTTGTATACAAGTTTTTGTGTGAATATATGTTTTCGATTCTCTTGGGGATATAACCTAAGAATGGAATTGCTAAGTCATACGATAACTCTGTTTACTTTCTGAGAAACTGCCCAGCTACTTCCCACAGTAGCTTTACCTTCTCATGGTCTTCTCAGTGATGTATGAGTGTTCCAGTTTCTCCACTGCTTGGATTTCACTGAACCTCTTACATCTGTGGGTTTGTAGTTGCCCCTCAAAATTGAAAAAAATTTCAATCATTATTTCTTCAAATATTTTTTCTATTTCCTCCCCCTTTGTGTGTAATAATTAGGTGTGTAATAGCCCACTTGAAATCATCCCATTGCCCACTTATACCCTTATTTTTTCCCCCTGCATTTTGTTTTGGGCAGCTTCTATTTTTTGTGATTTTAAGTTTACTATTTCTGTCACATTGGCTCTGCCGCTAAGCCTGTCTTGTGTATTTTTCACTTGAGACATTGTAATTTTCATCACTGGAAATTTTATTTGAGTCTTTTCTTGTATCGTCCTTGTCTCAAAATGTCTACTGTTTCTTTCAGCTTCCTGAACTTATGAACTACAGTTATAATACTTATTTTAATGTCCTGGTCTAATAAGTATATCATCTGTGTTATTTCTGGAGCAGTTTTGATTAATTTTCCTCTTCATTATTGGTCAAACTTTTCTGCTTCTTTGTATGCCTGGTGATTTCTTATTGAATGCTGGACATTGTGAATTTTACCTTATGAAATGCTGGATAGGTTTGATTTCCCATAACGATTCTTGAGCTTGGTTCTGAGATGCAGTTTAGTTACCTGGATATAACCTGATTCCTTCAGGCCTTGCCTCCAAGCTCTCCTAGGCAGGACCGTAGTGGCATCTAGTGTATGACCAGTTTTTCTCTAGTACTTACTTGTACAAAACTCCTCCAAGTACTCAACTCCATGATTTACAAACTAGGAGATTTTTCACTCTGGGTGATGTTAAGAGGAATAATGTCTGGGGTTGTGTGACCTCTAAAGACTGTTCCCCTAAATCCTATCAGGTACTTCTTTACCCAATGTTTCTTTGGGTAGTTTCCCCACGTGCATGTAGCGTTCAACATTCAGCTGAAGAGTCAAATAGGACCCTTTACAAATCTAACCCCCTGCAGAACCACAAAACTCTCTTTTCTGTGTAACTTTGCTCCTTCTGGTTCTCAGCCCTGTAAACCGTAGCTGCTCTGGCCTCCCCAGACTCCAGGGGTTCCACCCGATACCCACCTCTCTGTGCCGTTCAGGAGAGTCTTTCCAGGTGCTAAACTGAGCTAGTATAGGGCTTGCTTTGTTTTCTGTTTCTCAGGGACCACTGTCCTTCATTAACCGACACCCAATGTCTTGAAAACTGTTGTTTGGGTTATTTTTTTTTTAAAGGTGAATGTGTTCCTTGTTACTCTATCTGGTCTGAAAGTGGAAGTTCTCATCCCAGCCATTATTTTTCAAATCAATTTTTAGGCTCCACTCTTTTGTTTATCACTTCTAGGACCCTAGCTTCCCACTTGTGGAACCTTGCACTCTTGTCTCATAAGTCACTACGACTGTGTTCACTATTTTCCAGTCTTTTTTCTCTCCATTTTTCAGATTGGATAATTTCTAATGATCTGTGTAAAAGTTCACTGACTCTTGTTTATTTACTTATCTAGTTATTTATATTGAATTTATTGGAGTAACACTGGTAAATAAAATTTTAATCTATTATATATCACACTGACTTTTTTATTTATATCATCTCCAATCTACTATTGAGCCCATTGAAGTCTTTTTTTTAATTTAAGAATTGTATTTTCTACTTTTTTTAATAGTCTATATTTCTCTGCTTTCTATTCCTTCATTACAAGCATATTTCCTTTAACTTCTTAACCAAAGCTATAATAGTTAACCAAAATCCTTGTCTGCTAATTTCAACATATGGCCCATCTCATAGTTGGTCTTCATTGATTGCCTTCCTTTCTTAAGTATGGGCCACATTTTTCTGTTGTGTGTGTGCGTGTCTAATAATTCTACACTGTATTTTGGACATATATATATAAGGAGATATTCTGAAAACTCCAGAATTTATTCATAAAAATTTATGTATAAATTTATTAAAATTATTAATAAATGTTTATTTATAAATTTATAAAAAATTATTTATAAAAATTTATTCTTACATGTTTTAACTCGTCACCTTTAAAGCACTCTCCATTTGATGCAATACACTTATCAAGAAATTTTTTCCACTGCTTAAAACTGTTTTTGAACTAATCAATTTTTATGCCTTTTAGTGCTTCTGCTATTTTATTGTTTCACCTCTTCTACATGGGCAAAATATTTGCCTTTGCGGACTTTTTTCATGCAGGAAAATAAAAAAATGTCACTCATGGTGAGACCAGGTGAACAAAAAGGGTGGGGCACAAGGGTCATGCCATTTTTTGTTCAAAAATTGCTGAACACTCAGCGCAGAGTGGAAAGGTATGCTCATAAAATCACCCAACATGAAATGGGCAAATGCATTGAAAGAGTCTTAAAAAAAAACTTCACTGAAGCTGAACACAGCCTCTCCCAACATCACCAGCTGGTACACTGATACAGATGGGTTCCTAGAACACTCACCTAGTAAGGGAAG